TATATATATATATATATATATATATATATATATTGAGGTAGTTGAGGTTTCATTTTAACTTGTTGGCAGCAATAGCAAGGGTCATTAATGATCTGAGCTACATTAGTTGCAGACTCATTGTGGACCACTTCTACTTCACTGTCTTTTTAGTACAACCCTTTTAGGAATAGATCCTTCATCCCAAAGTAATACTAATTTGATTTAAAGGGTCTAATTTACCTGAAGTAGTTTGATTTCCTGCATCATGCATGTTTCTAAGATATGGTTATATGATACACGTATACATGTCTTTATGAAAACAACTATTCTATTATTAGGGGTAGAAGCCAGTCTGCCTACTTACATGCACAATATGCAAGCACACACATTCCAAGGCACGTCGGTATTGTTCTGTGTAGTTTCTTCAAAGGGCAACTTGGACACTGGACCTTCTCGTTGATGTTAACCAATGGGTGTGTGGGTTAGCTTGCATGCATCTCGACTAATCATGGAGAACAGCTAAAGTAATCCAATTTTAATTATAAAAACCACTTAACATTGTCTACATGTTACATATTTTTGGTCATTTTTTTTAAATAATTATTTTCAAAATGTAATTACTTTTTTTAATATCTAATATCTAAATTAAAAATAAGGTAATAAATATTATGGGGTTTTGAAGGGTTTATAATGAGAAATATTGTAGAAAATGATGATGATGAATGAAATTATGTTTTACAATTTAATATAGTTTTCATATTAATAAACTTTCATATAAAATGACATCATGTGCCAAAGAGAAGCTAAAAATCAAACAAGTGATTTAAGTTTGAACAAGGTTATCTTATATCATAACAGGTTACAAATGTATTATAATTTAAATCACAAGGGTGGTGCCTGATTGGTTTGAGCTTGACTCCAAAGGTCAAAAGTACCAGGAGGTCCCATGTTAAAATCCGAGGAGGAATAAAAATCCTTTTGTGGCCACAGAGGTTCAAATGCGGCGACTCCGGGCTAGCTGCAAAGCAGGTAGTCGTTTTGAAATTAGTCGGCTTGCATAGCGGGTTGGATATCCAGGTTAATAAAAAAAATGTATTATAATTCAATGAAAATGTTTCCAAGTAGTTGAGAATGGGAGAATACTTGGAGACTTGAACACTTAAGTTATCATACTATATTTGATTGTATCATTGCAAATGGAAGGAGTTGGTAAGTGCAAAGTATGTGTGGCTCTCATTTTGGTGGAATGGAAGAATGTCACACATATAGAGTATGTTTGCCTATAAATACACATTCTCCATCTATTTTGCTCATCCTTCCTATCGTTTCAATCACACTCAAACTAAAGAGAGAAAATAGATGGTTCAGTAGGTGTGTTTATGAGTTGGATTGATTGAGTTGAAGGCATTTGAAGGACTGATTGAGTTGAAGGCATTTGAACAATCTAATCTAATGCTTGCGGTTTGAAAATTCTCAACCCAACCAACGCAAACCAAAGTGCAACCCAACCCAACACAAACTGTACGGGTTGATACTTTGGTACATCAAAATATTCTTCTAACCTTGAATATGTTGTTTTCTCTGGTCTATTAATTTTTTTTTTCATTATTAACCATTTGGTACAACTTATACATATTTATTAAATATTAAGTCATCACATTCAATTATTTTCTTAATTTGCATATATATATATATAGATTTGGGATCATGTGAGACCA